AGTAAACATACATTCGTCTAAAATTAATTTTCTTATTGGCCTATTCATTTTGACTAACCCTGTACTTTATCTCTGTGTGTGTGAATATTATTATTATTATTATTATTATTATAACTTTATTTGTACCCCGCTAGCATCTCCCGAAGGATTCGATGCGGCTTACAGCAGGCCGAAGCCCAAAAACAATACAACAATACAATACATAGCAAATAAAACAGTCAAGCAAAAACAATGACAGCAGCAACACGACAAGACATTATTAAAAACTGAGTTGGCCGAAGTAGGGTACAGGGTTAAAAGTGCTGATGTGTCGGAGGGGTGTGGGATTATAATAAAAGTGCAGTGTGCGGTGATCTTGGGAACTAAAGTGCTTCTGGGATTTGGTCCTGGGGGATTCCTAATCTGAAAAGGCACATTGGAACAGCCAGGTCTTCAAATTCTTTCTGAAAACTACCAGTGTAGGGGCTTGTCTGAGATCTTTCGGGAGGGTGTTCCAGAGGCGGGGGGCCATCACGGAGAAGGCCCTGTCTCGCGTCCCCACCAAGCGCACCTGTGACGCAGGCGGGATCACGAGCAGGGCCTCTCCAGATGACCGGAGTGAGCGTGTGGGTTCGTAGACTGTGATGCGGTCACGCAGGTAGGGTGGTCCCAAACCGTTCAGGGCTTTGTAGGTAAGCACCTGCACCTTAAATTGGGCTCGGAAAATAAATGGCAGCCAGTGGAGCTCCTTAAACAGGAGGGTTGACCTCTCTCTGTAAGGGGCCCCAGTTAACATCCTGGCCACTGCCCGTTGGACCAGTTGGAATTTCCGAGCCGTTTTCAAGGGCAGCCCCACGTATTGCAGTAATCCAGTCTAGAGGTGACTAAGGCATGGACCACCCCGGCCAGATCAGCCTTAGCGAGGCACGGGCGCAGCTGGCGCACAAGTCTCAGTTGTGCAAAGGCCCTCCCGGACACCGCCGAAGCCTGAGCCTCAAGCGTCAGCGATGAATCCAAGAGGACTCCCAAGCTGCGGACCTGTGGCTTCAGGGGGAGTGTAACCCCGTCCAGCACAGGTTGCCACCCTATACCCCAGTCTGGTTTACGATCGACCAGGAGGACCTCTGTCTTGTCGGGATTGATCTTCAGCTTGTTCGTCCTCATCCAGATCGACACAGCGGCCAAGCACTCGTCTAGCACCCGAGAGGCCTCCTTGGAATTGGGTGGAAAGGAGTAGTAGAGTTGAATATCTATAGGCCTGGGTAACAACGGAAAAATTTGTTTCTAAAATCGATTTGTATTTGGGAGTTTTTTTTGTTTCAATATTTAAAATAATTACAAAATTTTCCTTTTAAAAAGTTCGATATTTACGAAATTTCGTAAATGGTAAAAAATTAACGAATCGATTTCCGAAACAATAATGAATCGATTCGTTAATGGCGGACGCGACCGCGAAGTACGCTAAAAAACCTCCAAAACCTTCTGAAGCTTCCCTCTCCCTCTGTTGTTGACTGTTGGTGTGATATTATAATTTTTTTTCACTAATTAAACCATAAAACTGGCCCAGACATGCGGAAATAATAACGAAACGACTTCAAAACAATAACGAAACGAATACAATATCGAAATACGAAGCATTTACAAAACGTTTTTGAAAATTCGTTTTTTTTTAATAATTGCTCCAGAATGGTTCGTTATCGTTTTGTAATTGAAAAAATTAACGAATTATTAACGAATTACGAATTAACGAAACGAAACCGCCCAGCCCTACTATCTATATCTATGGCTGGATGGCTTTCTGGGTCTCTCCCTCCCCAAAGATCTTAGACAGGCCCCTTCATTGGCAGTCTTCAGAAAGAACTTGAAGACCTGGCTGTTCCGATGTGCCTTCCCAGATTAGGAACCTCCAAGACCAAGTCCCAGAAGCACTTTATTAAATTAAGATTGTCGCACACTGCACACTGCACTAGTAGCCTTGCAGCCCACCTGTCACGCCAGCACTTTTAAATTCTTGTACCCAGTACGCTGGCCCGGCCCAGTTTTATTGCGTCTTAGTGTATTGTTTATTACTTGTTGTTTAGTTTGCTTAACTGTTTTTAATTTGCTTTAGGTTTGTATTGTTGTATTGTGTGTTGAGGCCTTGGCCTTTGTAAGCCGCATCGAGTCCTTCGGGAGATGCTAGCGGGGGACAAATAAAGTATAATAATAATAATAATAATAATAACGAACAGCAGCCAGATTGCTAATGGGAGCGACACTCAGGGAGTGCACAATTCCTCTGTTGCCCCAGCTCCACTGGCTGCCAGTCTGCTACTGGGCACAATTCAAAGTGCTGGATTTAGCCTATAAAGCCCTAAACCAGTGGTTCTCAACCTTCCAAGTACCGCGACCCCTTAATAGAGTTCCTCATGTGGTGGTGACCCCCAACCATAACATTATTTTCATTGCTACTTCATAACTGGAATTTTGCTACTGTTATGAATCATCATGTAAATATCTGACATGCAGGATAGATTTTCATTCACTAGACAAAATTTGGCACAAATACCTGATTTGCCCAAATTTGAATACTTGGGGGATTAAATTTGCCATTTGGGAGTTGTAGTTGCTGGGATTTATAGTTCACCTACAATCAAAGAGCATTCTGAACTTGACCAATGATGGACCACAGAACTTCTATGAGCAAGAGAAAATACTGGAATGCTTTGGTGGGCATTAGCTTTGAGTTTGGCAGTTGTAGTTCACCTACATCCAGAGAGCACTGTGGACTCAAGCAAGGATGGATCTGGACCACACTTGGCACAAATACTCAATATGCCCAAACGTGAACACTGGTAAGAGTTTGGGGAAAATAGACCTTGACATTTAGGAGTTGCAGTTGCTGGAATTTGTAGTTCACCTGAACCTCACCAATGATAGAATTGGGACAAACTTTCCACAAAGAACCTCCATGACCAACAGAATAAATAAAAATACTGTGTTTTCTAATGGTCTTTGTTGACCCCTCTGAGACCCCCTCGTGACCCCCCCCCAGGGGTCCCGACCCCCAGGTTGAGAAATGCTGCCCTAAACGGTTCCAGTCTGGCATACCTATCCAAACGTATCTCTCCTTATGAACCATCTAGGACTTTAAAACCATCAGGGGAGGCCCTGCTCTCGATCCCGCCTTCCTCGCAGATACGTTTGGTGGGGATGAGAGACAGGGCCTTCTCAGTCGTGGCCCCTCGGCTATGGAACGCCCTCCCCAGGGATATAAGATCGACTCTCTCCCTTCTAACATTCCGCAAAATGTTTAAGACCTGGCTCTTCGAACAAGCTTTTTTTAACTGGAGCATAATTAGACGAAAACAAATATATGGAACAATCAACGATTGGACAACGACTTTAGTAAGAAGACGCTGAGGATTTGTTCTTATGGTCATTATTGCTTCTTTTATATTACATTTTAAATATGGAATTGTTTCTTATAATTGTTTTAACTGTATTTTGATAATTGTTATGGCATCGAATTGCTGCCAACTGTGAACCACCTTGAGTTGCCTCAAGTTGCGGTATATATATATATAAGTTCTGGAGAGACTTATTTTGCATAGAATTACGTAAAAAATAGACCCCTGTCCGATCCCACAGCAAGCTGGCTTCAGGAAAGGCAAAAGCTGCACATCGCAAGTGCTGAACCTGACTCCGCACATAGAAGATGGCTTTGAAAGGCAGCAGATCCCAGGAGCTGTCTTCATAGACCTGCCAGCAGCTTATGAGACTGTGAACCACCACCGCCTCCCCCTGAGAAAAATGTATAGTATCACAAAGGACTACCATCTAATCCATCTCATAGGAAACCTGTTACAAAACAGGAGCTTTTTTGTTGAGTTCCAGGGCCAGAGAAGCAGATGGCGGAAA